GCCGCCACCAGAATCTTATTGGTTCACTTACTTTGCTTTGTATTGCTTTGCTGGGAGCTTACGAGGAAGCCAGTAGCCGTTGTGCAGCCAGGATGGCGGACGCGTCTGGCCTGATGTAGGTGGAGAAAGCCGAAGAGGAACAGCGCCCCAGCTGTTGCAGAGAGGTGTGGGGGAGCCCCAGCGAGGCCGCGCGCGTGGCAGCGCCTATCCTGAAGGAGTGAGCTGTGTAGAGCTGGGGAGACAATTTACAGAGGAGCAGTAGGGATCTTAGTTGAGTTCTGAACCAGGTTGCTGTCATGGGAAGAATGTCTGGAGTGAGAAATAGAGGTCCGTTAAGATCTCCTTTTTGCAGCGGAGGCGAGTGTAACGCCTCATGGACCTGTAGGGGCAGAGAGATGTGTCCGAGCGAGCTATTACTATATTGCAGGCTCCTTTGATTTTTGAATGTTTGAGACGGAGGTTGAAATGGTCAGGGGACATTATGTTGGGTGAAAAAGAGCGACCTTTGTGTAATGCTTCCACTACGTCGAGATTATCACACGTGACAGAGATCCTCTTTCTCTGCCACGTGTGATTCCACAGCGCGCAGGCCACGACCACTGGGAATATCACGTGTAGGGCAGAGGAGATGCTCCGGTGGAAAGTAGCGGCCACGCTCGGCAAACCAATGGTCCTGGAAGAATCCCCCAAAACCCACGGAAGGGGCAGCGTCCGTGTAGAAGCGGAGACCTGTAGGGGCAGAGACATGTCGGAGAGGGCCATTGATGTTGCAGGCGCCCTTACGCTTGAAACCTTGGGTTGGAGAGTAGAAATCAGGATAGTAGGATGGTCGGGAAGGCCGTGTCTCGGACCGCATGAAGGTTGAGTGAGCAATGGTGAAACGCTTACACAGAGAAGCCATAGAAGGAAAGCAGGAAGATGCTGCGAGGAGGGCGGACATGTACTTGGGAGATGAGCCGGAGTTCAGCGCCGCTGCAGGATGGGCAGCATGATGGGGAGCCTGCGATCAGAAGAGTGAAGAATACAGGTATGGATGCCTTTGATTAGGAGTCCGATTGACGGCTCAGCGCAGCTACTCGGCCAGCTGCATCTGATAGAATCAGAAGATTAAGTAGAGAGATGAAACATGACCGCCGAAGCGACCCTGGGAGCATAGGTGCGAGTCCAGCGCAGCGCGGCATGCTCAGCCGGGCTGCGTCCATTAGAAGCAGGATAAGCTTCTGAGAGAGTGGGATGCAGCAGTAGCAGTAGCAGCAGCAACCTCAGATAATAACGGCAATAGTCCTGTATCAAGCCGCGACAGTAGCAGCAGCAGCAGCAGCAGCAGCGTCCTTAGAAAATAATAGTAATAATCCTGTATCAAAGCCACAGCAGTAGAATGTTGTAGTAGCTGTTCAGTGTTTCAGTAAAAGAGATGCAAGTGAAGAGAGGTGTCAAAGTAAAAAAGCAGCAGCAGCACGGCAGCAGTAGCAGTATGAAGCAGCAGCGGAAGCAATAGCAGCAGTAGCAGCAGTAGCGGTAGCAGTAAGAAGCAGCAGAAGCAGCATTAGCAGGAGCAGTAGCACCACAATGCGATTCATACGAACAACAGACGTGTCACGCCAGCGTGCGCCGCTTGTCTCCGTGAGCCAGGTTACATACGTGTCTGAAAGAGCCAAGCCGTAGAGAAGGGTGCCGTCCGGGAGCCCGCGGAGCAGCAGCGGCAGGAACAGCAGCAGCGGCACATGTAGTAGCAGGAGCAGCAGGAGCAGCAGCAGGAGCAGCAGCAGGAACAGGCGGCAGCAGGAACAGCAGCAGCGGCACATGTAGTAGTAGGAGCAGCAGGAGCAGGCAGCAGGGACAGGCAGCAGCAGGAGCGGCAGCAGGAACAGGCAGCAGCGGGAACAGGCATCAGCGGGATCAGGCATCAGTAGGAACGGCAGCAGGGACCGCAGCAGCGGCGGTCAGAAAACCATGCCCACGGTTGTTTAAGAGCCTGAGGAAATAAATCAACCCGAATCCGAAACATTCCCATGCGAAAAACAGATATCCCCTGGAGCCATCTTGCTGCTTTGGTTATGGCAGATACGCATGAACCATCACTTTTCCATGCGTTCATAGCTCCAACTCCACTTCGAACCCATTGCAGATTCACATTGGGCCCCTTTTCTTTCTGCTGCACTTTCGAAATGCAACAACTGCAGTTTAGTTACCCAATTTAATACTAGTGACCTAGCTATTTAAATGCATGGCCCCTCCTTCCTCCTGCAGATAGACGAATTTAAATACATTCGTTTAGCAATAGTGACCTGCGAGTAATGAGATTAATGCTGTAAAATGGCGCCGTGGCAAGAGTTCTGGTGTGTGCCGTCTGGAGCACGATGGGTAGTCTTTGCACATTTTTTCCAACGTGGTTTTACTGCAAGTGGCAGAACATGAATCTGAATTAATGCACATTGCTCCTCTTATATCCCTCAGACATTGGAGATTGATGCCATTTAAGATGCATTGTCCCTCAGTTAGCTCAAACACGTGTAAAACGGAGCCTGCAGACCAAGCACGGGGCGAAAACTGACGCCTGCAGTCAAGTGCGTAGGGCAAAAACCAGCCGCCTGCAGCCTAGACTCCGGGATTAATCTGTCCGCGGTCGGCACACTCACTGTACTCACATGCCAGGAGACTTGGGAAAGCAACGGGACAACGCGGCACCGCCAATCGGAGGCAGGGACACGCACGGCACCGCCAGACCGTCTGCGCGCGGCAGCAGACCACGAGGAACGAGCAGCACAGAAACCGCGGAGGGGCCCCGCAGAGCAGCCCGCAGAAGAGCCCGCAGAGGAGGAGAGCAGACCACGAGCAGCCAGACTGAGGACAGCCGGGCCACGCGCACGAGCAACACGTGAGCAGAAGCGACCCCTCCAGAACAACGCATGTATTTGCGAACAGGTGCGTTAGCGACATGCACCTTGCAGGCTTCAGAAGTTTGCAGACTTCAGAAGGCCGGGAAGTGGGCGTCTCCGGCTTTTAACTTGCTGTCCTGGTGGTTATTGGTGGATTAGATGTGGGCGTTTTGCTGGTGTAATGAGTAGAGGATGAGCAGGCTTGTAGGTCTGGCAGCAGTGGCCGGGTCTACCACAGTGAACTTTCGCGAAGAGCTTCATATTTGCTTTTTTAACTGACTTGTACTGTATGTGTACCATTTATCTCTGTATTTTTTAAATTGGGAAGCGCTTTGTGATCTAATCTGTGAAAGACACTATATAAATAAACTTTACGTACTTACTTACTTGAAAGCAGAACGATTAAATTGGTCATCATACTCTCTGTTTAAGGTTTTTTTTTTTGTTTTTTGCTGGACCTATATACCCTTGAAGCACAAACTGGCACATGTGTTTTCTAACAAATCAATTGGAAGGTGAATTATTTTTTCTATATAGATTCAGAAAGGGATAGCAGTATTTAACCAAAAGATTCATACATTCTGTAAATACAAGGAATGTGATTGTTAAAATACACAATTTACAAATATATATTTTTGTAGATTGAAGCTTATCCATAAATGTCTTTTGTGTAGCCCCACATAAAAACAGCAGTCTTCTCTGAGGACTGTACACAGTTGTTGATACCTCATCGACAGATCAAAACAGGATATGCAATAATAACAATTGCATAGGAGCCAATGACCAAAGTTCATTAACGTAAATAGATGTCCATAAATGCCCTCAGGGTTATGTCCCTCCTGCATCGGCAAAGAACCACTCAAAAACCCAGTGGGAAAAAGATGAGAAATCACAAACCTTAGCATCAAAATGTCTCCATTATAAAGTTATTGTTTGAGTGTGCAGTGTTGTATAAAATGTTTCATATCAGACTAAGGTGCATACATTGTTTAAAGCAACAGATTTTACACCACGGCTGAAAAAAAACAGCTCTTTATCCACTGTATAATATTCAATTTAATCTAATATAGCAAAATATAAATTCATTGAAAAATCATGAGTCTGACAAAAGGGCCAACTGTCTTCTAAGGGATCATTCTGCGCACTGCTGCTGAATAAAATGAAGCGATTATTAGCTTTCTCTTTTGCATAATGTATAAACACCAGCGAGAGAAAAGCAGGAAATCAACCCTTTTGTAGCTTGAGGTGTGTGATGAAAGCCGACTTATGGCTACAGAGGGGTGAGGGCTGGGCAGGTGTCACCTGCAGGTGTGCGACTGGAGGATTATGGGTAAGTCTGAGTGCCGCCCCTGCACCATAATAACAGCCATCACCAGACACCTGCTGAGGGTGCTGAGGAGGGGCCTGTCCCACTGCAGGAAGTCCCTCAGTCTACACTCTCACTTCTTACTGTTAATGAAGAAATGAACAAATCTTCTGCTAATCGACCAAAAACAAGTCACTGCAATATCTGCATCTATCTCTAATATTTTGTCAAACTCAATATGAAAAAAACATTTATTTCCATGTTTTTTTTTTTTTTTTTTTTTTTTTTTTTCAAAAAAATGAAATGAAATGAAAAGAAAAAAAAAAAATTCCATTCAGTGTGTCTTCCGTCCTGTTATCTTGACGATGGGTGAGAGCAAGATTCTCAATGAATGCAATATCAAAGGTCTGTTTTAGGACCAAATAGAGTTCCGTTTAGTAGTTTTGCTCATATAACATATAAACATCTAAGCATTCGTGTAGGGCCCAATGGTCACCATGGAAGGCTCAAAAATGTCAAAAAAGAACAGAAAAAAGTTGACCATTTAAAACCATTAAAGTGAAGAAATATAATAATGACGAAAACAATATGAACGCTCTCTACAATTTGAGACCCACAAATCCTGGCATCTTGAAAGTTTTCTGTGCCATCACGGTAGAAAAAAATGATGTAAAATTCTGAGATTATTTCATTGTTTGGGCACACAGTGTTTCAGCAGTTATATCTAAACTTTCAAGAAGGAAATAGCCACTTAGGGTATTTCCTTCTTGAAAATTTCAACTGCTAAGTTTTTCTCTTCCTTTGATAATTCCCAGCGGATTACATCGACGTCCTGAGAGAGCTGGATCTCACAGAACACAGGGAGGGTGTGTCTCTGGAGGCGGGGCTATGTGGGAGCAGAAGAGGTGCCCAGGACCTGGCCTACAGAATCAGCAAGAAGATACAACTCAGTGCTCCCACCAAGCAGCTGTTTCCAGGTATTACGTGTTTGATCTCTCATTGGAGTCGGACAATGTTTGTCATTGATCATTGTGTTAAGAATGTGATTCAGCTACATACATTATGATTAATGGATCAGTATTTTGCATTCTAAATATTTATCTAAAACAATTCAATGAAAATTGGCATCTCATACCTACCCTTTTTTACGCAACATACGTCACTATAAATATGATCTCCAACTATGTGACGACACTGGACAGTGCAGCGAGCAGATTTTCCTATTAGAATTATTACTATTGAGCATGAATAAATATACGATTAGGCAATTAAGGCCTGGCAGACGAACGACGTGGTATTACGCATTTATTGCATACATGAAATTATGTATAAGATCTGACGGCCTAGACCCCAGCAGAAATATTGCATGACCGGTCTCACAGTCTCACACTCACACAGTCTGATTTTCCATTTATGCCGCTTTAATGCCTGCATTAAACCAGCTGATTAAAAGCTCTAACAGTCAATTTTGCGTGAAAGAAAATGACAAAATCTACCTGGGTACAATAAAGTATACCTTAAAGTAAATGTCAGTTCCTTTTCAAACTTTGAGAGAGTGAAACTCATTGAAGATAAGAAATGGTTAGACCCACCCATGGTTAGACTCTCCCCAGCTCCCTGCTTGGTCGAAAATGGAATGAATTTTGCTCATTGTAATTGGTTTAACTGTTCTTACTGGTTTAGTTGAGAGGGACTATTTTAAATATGCTATTGTTAAAAAATGCATACTGTACATAATAGTACAGTGTCCCGTGGTCAGAAATGTACTTGTGCTATCCTCGGGTCAAAGGATCTGCCACAGTGATTAAAAGTAGATGAAAAATTAGGGTCTAAAAGGGTCTAAATGACCCAGGGCTGGTCAAGATAGGAAAAATCCTCAAAATTCAGATAATTTGTTTTTTAAAATTTAGAGTATTTTCTATAACTGTTGTGGGCCAATTACAGCCGAGGATAGAACGGTTAAAAACAAACAAAACAAAATGTAATGTGGACTCAGAGAGAGAAAACCCTGCAAACACCGGATAAAGATTGTTAATGGGATCTTCTTACCAAACATACTCCATTGAAAATTTCAGTTCAATCTGACCCAAAGCTTTTGCGCACACACAGAACGATAATACTCATCCCCCCGACCCCTGTTGCAAAGTAAGACATATTCCATTTTTATATGACTTTTTCCAGATTCAAGTTTCCCAGAGAACTTTTCGCTGATGGCCACAGTGCGAGCAAAGAAGAACTCCCAATTCTTCCTCTTGTCCTTGTACGACGATCAGGGGGTGCAGCAGCTGGGCCTGGAGGTGGGCCGCTCCCCTGTGCTCCTCTACGAAGACCAGAACGGACAGATAACGCCCCAACTCTACCCCGCATTCAAGAACGTCAACACAGCGGACGGAAAGTGGGTATTCCAGTCATGGCGACAGCGTTCAGTGTGTGTTTAATGTTGTAGGTGTTATCAATGCTCCATGCTCCTTCAGATGGCACAGAGTCGCCTACAGCGTCGATGGGAAGTCAGTCACGCTCTACTTGGACTGTCAGAAGGTTCAAACCCTGGATCTGCCTCGAGGGGACAAAGCCGTGATCAGCACTGATGGTGTCACTGTGTTTGGAACCAGGCTGCTGGAAGAGGACGTGTTTGAGGTACAAAACACCACACAAAATCATCCACAGGCTCACGCAAAACCCTTTAGGCTGCCAACAATACAGTAAAGGCCTCAACATCACGGAGGTGGTATCAGAGAGGTATGGCGCGTGTGTTATTAGTGATATACTTTTGAATCCCACAGAATCCTGGTGGAAAACAGAAAACTCCCTTCTTCCTGGAAAATTGAGAGAAGAAAATCATGGTTCAAGAGGTTATGAGCTGATTGGGTCTCTGTCAATCAAATGTCGAAGGAACAAAATGAAAAATGAGGGAAAAAGTGAAAAGGGACATGTTGTTCAGACATGTCCAGGATCAGCCTGTAAAAAAAAGAAGAAGAAATTGTTTGTTCCTCAGGACAGGATGCAACTATTGACTACAAAACAGGGAGATTGTGATCGTGTTCACTGTTTTGAATCAAACGGTCTCTGTTTTTCAATGATAATTTTTGGGATCAATCTAATACTAAATGTGAAGATTTTTATTTAAAAAAAGAACAAATCTTATTAGCTATCATGGGTTAGGGTTAGGGTAATGGGGCAAATGTGTCCATAATAAAGTCTGTATAAAATTATAAATAACAAAAAATAATATATAGCTGAAACATGTATCGTATCGTTCAACTTCTATAATTACTTCTATAATTCAAATTGTATTGTGAACATAATAGATGACAGACAGATGACAAAGTGACATAGATCAAGCCTTTATTGGTCAAAATATTGATAATTGGCCTAAAGGTATTAAAAAAACTTGAAAGTGGTAAGTTACTGTTAACCCTTTTATGAGTCAAACTTTTATTGGTTTCTCATTCTAAATTGGGAAATAACAGAAACAAATGAGGTTTTTGGGCATTAATCTAATTCACGACCCTAATAAAATCCCCTTTATTTATTCGTCCCAACAGAAAGATTCTTTAGTGTTGTCAGACTGCAACATGACGTCTTCATAAAGGAGACAGAGGCCCCTGCAGAACTATTTGATGCTTTGAGCTGAGGGGCTGAGGGAGGGTGGTCCTTCTTTTTCCCTTTTCCGTCTGAAAAAGGTGATCTAAAGATGTGATAGAAGTCAAATATGCATGCATGTGAATACTACACTGCAAAAAGTGATTCAAAATAAGTCCAAAATGGATTAAATTTGGCAAAAAGTAACTTCATTTGAGCACATTTTGACTTCTTTAAAACAAGATTTGCCATTCGGACAAAGCAAAATGATCGTGTTTTAAAAAGATACAAGAAATGTCTCTTTTGGAATGAAAAAAACATACAAAAGTTCTTCAATTAAGACTAAATGACTTGTCCCAATGGAAAATATTGTTTTAGGGCAGTCAAAATGTGCTCGGATTAAGTTACATTTTGCCAAATTCAAGAAATATTTGACTTATTTTGTATCACTTTTACATTCTGACTGTCTTAATGTTTTAACAGATTAAGGTAATAATCCATCAATGCAAGCAATTATTACTTCATATTTTATCGTTTTTTGCAGCTTTGTGTAAAACCAGGCCCCAGATACAGGTTGCATTACATAGTTCTGTCTTTTGAAAAATAGGTTTCTCAGCCCAAGCGTCCCCAAAGTGACCCCAGTTTGAAGGCTGTGAGAAGCTGTGGGCAAAAACAAGCTGCTTCAGATTGTTTTAATATCGTAAAACCATTCAACTGTTTACTTTCTACACACTTTAACCTGCTCGCCCCAGCAGACGCCCACTGCCCTGGGTTACTCTCTGGACTAATCACCACCTCTTCAAAAGTGTTCACCCATTAGCACCTTTTACCTGAGGTCAAGACCCTCCCAGGCAATCACCCCCTCACCCGCCCACAAACTCTGCATATTTCAAATTCAGCTGCAACAATTCAATTAGCCGTTGTTTGTGCTTTCAAAACTGGAATCAATCTGTCCCTATTTTGCAATGATTATTTCTTTGTGTCAATCATTTCGCCACAATCTCATGGGACTATAAAACACCAAATTGAATCTAACACTGAATATTACACTGCTCTTTTACATACATATAAAAAAAATGTTTTTAGCTATAGATCATGTGCCTGCATATGTGTCCTTAACACTTTCATGGTTTCCTCTACCATTTGGTGGATTTCCTTTTGAGTCACTATATTCTTATACTTATACTAATTTATCTAGTTGGGGTTTAAGGCACTTTTACCATCAAACTGCATCACAACCATTTGCTTTAGGCCTATAATTAAACGGAAAAATTGGGGTTAAAAATCACCAAAAATATAAAAAAACTAATTATTTGTGTCCTACATCTTAGAGAATCCAAAAAAGAAAAAGTGTATGGCTTTCTTCAAGGGGTGAATGTTAAATAATTTGAAGATCTGAAACATGTAAAATTAGAATATCGTTCAAAAGTCCATTTACTTGTGTAACTCAACTTATAATGTGTGTTTTTAAATGACAAAGTGGGATATATCAATCCTTTATTTGTTATAATGTTGATATTTAGAGCTGTATTTTTTTTTTAACATATATAACATACTGTTTATTCCAACAAAAAGAGTGAAAAGTAGTTAACAAATCACATAAACCACTACATGGCTTATGGGAAACCATGAAATCTGAGCACGTAATCACAAATGAATCACTGTAAAATCTTGGCTGAGGGGGATTGTCTTTGTGAAGGTGGTCTTGATTTTGGAAGACTTTTCTGTCTGCAAAATCTGATCCAAAGATGTGAGGGCCCAAAAATGTTTGCATGTGAAAACTAGTGACCAAACTAGATCGATAGAACCAGTTATGTTCATTTTATTATCAGGTTCTCCGTTTATTGACAGATACCTCCAAATTCTTATCTTTGTCTGCTGTAAAACCATGTTCACTCAATAATATCTTAATTATGTGTCTATTTTTAGAGCCTTGTGTTAGTCTATGCTTATGTAAGTGTCATTCACGTTGTATGGATGGGGCGCGGTTAGAAGCAGGGGACAGCGGATTATCCAGGCTGACCTCCGGCTCTGTGTTCCCAGGCCCTTGCTCTGGGAGAGGGCTCCGTCTTTCCAGCGTGGGAGCTTTGCCTGGGAGCTTGTGTGGAGTGTGGGCAGCCGCTAATGTCTCTATTGCTTCCAGATTGCTTCCAAATGACACGCAAACGTTGATTTCCAAACTTCACGCTGCGCTTGCAAACAGAACTAAGCAAACTGTCCTCAAATGGGCCGCTGCTTCTTGGCTGTGATGTGTGAATGTGTGCAGCCAACGAGCTAACGGGCGCGATGAGATCCAGCTGAAGTTTATTTTGTTAGCTCAAGGCATTTAGGACATTTCTATCTTGATTACAGACGTACGCTTAAATGGTTTTAACAGTAATGCTGGTCTTTTTCTAGGATGCGTCATTATGGTATTCAGCGAGTTTTGTGGCTATGAGTTTGACGAATAGATTTTCCTTTTCTTCAGAATGTAAATGTGAAAAAGACTAAGAGATAGAGAACTTCTAAGAGGGCGGCAAGGTGGCTGAGCGGATAGCACTCTCGCCTCTCAGCAAGAAGGTCCTGGGTTCGAATCCTGGTTGGAACAGAGCCTTTCTGAGTGGAGTTTGCATGTTCTCCCCGTGTCTGCATAGGTTTCCTCCAGGTGCTCCAGTTTCCCCTACCACTAAAAACATGCACAATAGGTATGAATGTGAATGGATAGTGTTGATTGGGGGCTGATGCGTCACTGTGTTCGGCGACTCACTTCTGTCATCACCGTGTGTGGAATGATTGGAACAATATCTGAACTCTGCACATTGTAAAGCGCTTTGGGTGACCTTTGTCTGTAAAATGCGCTATATAAATAAACATTACTTACTACTCACTAAAGTCTATACCAAAAGTAAATAAAGCAATACAAATGTAGGGACATGTTTGTGGGAAGCCAAACAATTGATCACATTTATTTTTTGTGGTTGTGTCGCCAATACTTTCTTTTTAGAAGTCCTAAGCCTTGATAAATCCACATTTTGAAAGTACCCTTTAAGAATGCATGCATCATAAGGAAATGTTTGTATGTACGAAATGAGACACTGTTTTTTTCTAGTTCCGAGCGTCTCGGATCATAACGACAGGTACAATGATGGTTTTATTGCAGCGTTAGTAACAGCAGCTCGTAAATATGAAGCTGGTTAGAAAATAGGCAAGCGTTTTGGGAAAGTGGTGCTTTTGATCTAGAATCAAGATTAGATTTGATTGGATTACCTCCCTGTTGCTTTCCCCTGCCTGACTTTCCTTTCTTCTATCACCTTAGCGCACATTCATTTCCTGCTCTTGTCTCTGGCTGCAGGCTCGTCCATGAAAACAACATGATGAATGGAAAACATCTTTTCATATATTAAAGCACAAATTGCCAAAGTGGATTGAAATGTATGGCCCAGTTATTGCTTATTGAATTGCATTATGGATATGAGAAGCTGGCAGGTAAAACAGGCTTGAAATGTTGTGATTTATTTAACCTCAGATCACTAAAGCGTCATTAGTAATACATGTAATTACATTCGTATCCAGCTTTTAACTCAACTTAATTGATTGCAAATGGTTCCAGATGTCCCCAGATTATATTTCATCCAACAATATGCCTGCAACAGTCTGGATGCTTATGATTCCTCTCACTGGTGTGATCTATGGCATGTCAAACACACAGCTCTGGATATGCCGGTGTGAATGTGGATGTTATCTATGACAGGCATTGTTGAAGCTTACAATTTCATGTCTAAATTCAGGAAACTTTAAGGACGGATCTTCAGGCATCAAAAGTAAAAAATGATAAATAAGAGCAATTGAGATGACATCATTATATAATAGATTATGCCATTTTAAACTTAAAGCTGGGATGTATAACTTTGTTTGTGACAATACATTGTGTGGGTGGACCTGAGGGTAGACCTGACGGGGGAGCTGAGGGGTGGACCTGAGGGTGGACCTGAGGGTGGACCTGAGGGGGGACCTGAGGGGGGAGCTGAGGGGGGAGCTGAGGGGGGACCTGAGGGTGGACCTGAGGGGGAACCTGAGGGTGGACCTGAGGGGGAACCTGAGGGTAGACCTGAGGGTGGACCTGAAGGGGGAGCTGAGGGGGGACCTGAGGGTGGACCTGAGGGGGGAGCTGAGGGGGGAGCTGAGGGTGGACCTGACGGGGGAGCTGAGGGTGGACCTGAGGGTGGACCTGAGGGGGGACCTGAGGGTGGACCCGAGGGTGGACCTGAGGGGGGAGCTGAGGGGGGACCTGAGGGTGGACCTGAGGGGGGAGCTGAGGGGGAAGCTGAGGGTGGACCTGGGGGTAGACCTGAGGGTGGACCTGAGGGGGGAGTTGAGGGGGGAGCTGAGGGTGGACCTGAGGGGGGAGCTGAGGGAGGAGCTGAGGGTGGACCTGAGGGGGGAGCGTAGGGGGGACCTGAGGGTGGACCTGAGGGTGGACCTGAGGGGGGAGCTGAGGGTGGACCTGAGGGGGGAGTTGAGGGGGGAGCTGAGGGGGGACCTGAGGGTGGACCTGAGGGGGGACCTGAGGGGGGACCTGAGGGGGGAGCTGAGGGGGGAGCTGAGGGTGGACCAGAGGGAGGAGCTGAGGGGGGAGCTGAGGGTAGACTGAGGGTAGACCTGAGGGGGAACCTGAGGGTGGACCTGAAGGGGGACCTGAGGGTGGATCTGCGCATTTTGGACTGAGGCTGAGCTGCAGATGTGATGATCCTGAAAATACTTACATGTGAAAACTCATAAACTGATAAACTTTACAAACTGTTTTCAGAGCTTGGACTCGTCAGAGGGATTTTTACTACATTGTCCAATGTTTGTGGTGGTTTGAAAGTCAGATTCCCCAGTTTAATATTTGAAACATGGCTTTTAATCTCAAGTTCTACACACTGTATGATATAAATCTTTACTAAAACCCAAGCCAAAGACGACAGGATCATATAAACGTGTAGTCCATGTATACATCTCTATAATTGTAGCATATTGTAGCTCACCCTTCCTCCCTCGCTTCTGAGATGAAAACCAGCTACAGTACTGTAAATATGCTGATAACGTCTGCAAATATACAGGTATTTCAGGATGATGTGATATGAACCAGACCTAGTGCACATCTTCAAAGTGTCATTGCATTGTGAGTATTTATGATGTTGAATCAGAGAAGGCCTCTGATGTTAAGGACAAGTCTACTAAATTACTCTATTAAAAGAAGCGACCATTTTGCTTTGGTGATCTAGACTCTACACCTGTGTGATTTACAATGACTGATTACAGGCTCAGTTATATTATTTTTGTTCTTAATTAATACATTATTGTCATTAAAAGGGTTTCCATAAATATGGGTATGGCACAAGTTGATTGTATTTTATGATATGGGCTTCCATATCATTGGGAGAATGATGTTCCTTGAATACAACAGTGACAATAAGATATTCTATTGCCCCTTATCTAACCAGGATAGTCCCACTGAGATGCTGGAATGCCTTTTCTTCAGGAGACTCTTGGCTCCAATGTAAATGTGTAAATGACTGTGTATTATCATAGGGAGACATTCAGCAGCTGCTGATCTCTGAAGACCCAGACGCCGCAGAGAGCTACTGTGAAAGATACATCCCAGACTGCGACGCGGCTCTGCCGTTCAGCATCCAGACTGTGCAGGTTAGAGAGGACATCACTAACAAGGACACTACATGAGCACTCACACAGCACACTTCCGGTCCTTCCGGTCCTTGTTTTTGTAAATGTTTCTCCAAATGCTAATCTGACGTGTGACAGTAGAAGTCAACGAGACAAGTGTTAACTGTCAGCTTGATCGACTGAGACTAAACGTTGTTCAAGCTCCAATCATTGTAAATTCCACACATTTTAGGTGCGTGATGGAGGAGCTCGCCCTTGTCTGAAGTGCATATCTGAAATTACAGCTGTGTATAAAGTATATTGTTTTGAGAAAAGGCAGATGAAGAATGTTGTTATGCAAGTAGCCATTTAAATCTGTGGTGAGCCTCTGGGACTGGTCATTATTTGATGTGTGAGACGCTTGTACTTGTAGAAAGCAGCAGCTGAGCAGTGTGGGCTAAAGCCAGTGGATTTCGACATCTGTCAGCCCACTGACCTACTTCCCATAACATTTGCACAATATTGAGTTGGAGCTAGTTACAAAGTATTACAACAATTTGGTCTGTATATTATGCATTTGACCAAAGTTTTGTGAAAAAGTTAGAAGGGCTCTTTGTCTTTAGTCGCTCAGTCGATTAATTGGTCTATTGCACTATTTTGTGGTGGTTATAATGGTTCAATTTTTTATTTGATCAATTGCATTTATATGGGAAAACAGCAAAAATGAGAGAGTGGTTTACATTTTTGTATTTACGTCAATATTCAAGCCAGATCCAACATTTCCATGGAGTTGTGTGCCTATTTTTTGTTGTGTAATGTATGTCAAGTATATGATTATTTTGAGGGGTTTTGCCAGAACCCCTATTTAGTCTACTAATAAATTGACAGCGACATATTTATTCAAACAAGCATTTCTTAAGATGACTACAGCCCTAAAGTTTTGGGAGCTGCAGATTACAAACTATAGAACTGTTCAGGATTGTTTTTTTTCTATCTAATCTGTATTTGACTCACATTATTGTCTCCTTCTCCCCAAACACTTCCCAAATACTCCCTAACCATCATTTTACCCAAACCCAAGAACTTCCTCAAGTCTGATGCCACAGTTCAAAAGCAGAATGTCGAAGAAGAAGAACAGAAGACGTCAAAGAAGAACAGAAAGGGCAAAAAGAAGAAGCGTGACAAGGGCTCTAAGGGAAAAGGGAAGCGCAAAGGGAAGAAAGGATCCAGGAAGAAGAAGCATCAGCGTGAGGAAGATGGCCCCGTCCCCCAGGCCCCCCAGGCCCCAATTGCACTGCCCCAGTATCTGTCTCTGGAAGCAGCTGAGCCCACACTGTTCCCCCTGACCACCACCACCACAATACAGACCACCGTTCCCTCACTCAGTATGACTCAAGAATACGACAGAAACCAGTTTGACATGAAAACCATACAGCCTGACCTGATCTCGGAGTCCCCCACCACGATGGGACCCACTGCAGAAGCAATGTCGGAGGTGGAACAGGAGGTATACTGTATGTGGTAGTATAGTAGTAGTAGTAGTAGTAGTAGTATACCCCATCCTCGCACCTAACCACTCCCCTAATAACCTTCTCACTCCTGTAGAAAAGTCTTGTTTTGCAATAACCGTAATTTTCGCCACTGCCTGTTTGTGAATGTTTTGTGATTGTGATGCAGACAGTAGTTCTTACACAATTGTACATCTTACCTTTTTTCCGCCAGGTTAGAAAATAAATTTGAAGTTGAAAGATTGCAATCCATAACAAAACAAGCGAAAATACACTGCTAAAATACAAAGAAGAAAAATTGCCTGAAAACACCATTTGAAGGAGAATTGCCTAATTTCTATGGGTTTAAGACAGAATAGAATAACTTTAATGTCTATCGAGCGAAGTAACGGACATTTTACAGCGATATGAAAATGTATGGTTTCAACTGTACAAAACTGGATAGGAGTATATATTTTTTTTTTTGTTAAAAAATCCTTTGATCTTCAATTTTAAAAACTTATTTAAAGGCATTTTTTCTTTTTTTTTTTTTGAATAATCTGCAATATTTATATTCATTCTCTATATATTTAATTCTATCAAATTGGCGGAAAATCAGTTGTTAGTTGCAATCCATTACACATTACAAAAACCTGCTAAATAATGTACATTATAAAAGCAGCGTCTGTGATATCGGTTTGGAGCGAGGTTTGCCTGTGTCTTCATCGTATGCATGGCACATTCAGCGGAGTAATTTTCACCCTTGTTTTGCAGATATTTTAATCCATGTCACGCTGCCTTGTGCATCTGTTGTCATCTCATTGCATGCATTAACCACACACCTGTTGGGCTGTATTCTTAACGCCTCATATTTAATTCATATTTTTGCCATGAACCTGCTTTTATATGCTTCAAAAATTCACAATAAGCCAAAGTTTATCACGTATAATTTTCTTGCGTTTGCCGTTCAGAATCGTGAGCTGGTGGAGACGGCTGTGGAGGAGGCGTCCAAACCTGACTTATATGATGTTTCTACGGTGACAGTGGGAACGAATCTGACTGACTACGAGGTGCATCTTTACCCACAGTACATCTCCTGATACAGTTTTGTTCTTTTACACAATCATGGAAAGCATCATTTTCTTTTTTAGTTTCTAGAGTATGACTACCGGAACAATACAGGCTTGGAAGAATATGAGATTTATGACAGCTTTGATTTTGCTGAGCGGGAAATAGAAGGAACTTGGGACGGACAGGTGCATTTGAATGACACATCGATGGCTGTTGATGGCGGAATCGTTTTGTTACCGGCTTTGCTTTGTGTCTTTGTTTTCCACAGAGTTCCCCAAGAGGAGAGAAGGGCCAGAAGGGCGAACCTGCCGTTGTTGAGCCAGTGAGCACACTTTATAGTTATAATCTTAAACAAACATGGAGGATTCTGAATATTTGTCTAAAACAGTTATACTTTTGTACTGAAGTTTGAAGTTCAGATTTGCACACTCCCCTTTATGCCATATCACTTTCAACATCGTCACAAAAAGAGCAGTGGATTGTTTTTAACATTTGTGCCAAAACGCCTGTGTAAAGATCAAAAAACATAAAAAGTGAACATTAAGTATAATAAGGAATGCAGAAAATACAAACTGCATCAAGATGAAGAGTTCTAATGTTTACTCTTGTTTTGCAGGGAACAATGGTCGAAGGACCCCCAGGTTTACAGGGACCACAGGTCAGCACAAATACTATTGGGACACTATTGGGATGAAAAAGATGATACAAATAATTTTGTCATAATTAACTGTGCAGGGAATGAGTGGCCCATCTGGACCTGTTGGGACCCCAGGACCGAAAGGTGATCCAGGTGATGTGGTGAGTTACACTTAAACACCTTAATGCATAATTGTTTTTTTTTTACCATTATGGATTGAGAAAGCCATTTAGCAACAATTTTCAAAGCCAAGGATAGCTATAGGAGATTTAACTCCACTTAGATTGCTGACAGAAATTACATTGTTAATTGGTGTAATTAATTCATCATCACAATCATTATCTTAAAAAATATGAATATATTTTACATATACTTTCTCTATTATTTCTGTGCAGCTTTCCTATTCCTCTGTTTCCTCCCAGTCCCATCATTTTCAGTCTATGTTTTCTCATTTTGTGTAACCACAAACTCGTACAAATTAGTATAGTTTTGGACTTTACTATTTGTGCTTACACTTTTCAGGGTCCTCAGGGGCGGGCAGGTCTGCCAGGGGCTGATGGGATTCCAGGACCCCCAGGAACAATGCTCATGCTGCCAGTAAGAACCATTGACTAAAGGCATTTTCGCACTGTTGGGACCATAGTTGTATTCCTGATACTTTTTATGCTCCACCTGCTATCTTGTGAGCGTTCACACATAAAAGGACCTAGGGAATGGGGCCACACTTTTGCTATAGTTTTAGCTCCTTCTTTGGGGCCTGTACTTTTCGGTGAAAGCAGGAAATATTTGGTGAAACCCCTATGTACAATGCTGAATTCTTTTGTATTCTTAGATGAATACTTTTTCAGTAGTGAAAACCTGCACATAAAACTTTAGGATGCATTAGAACAGTTAGTGTCTGGAAAAAGACAACAACAAATGATTCAGATGTATAACCAGTTCTTGATGCTTTTCTGTGAAACGCCCGAAGAACACTCTCCTCTGCTCCTGTAGCAAGCTGCCTCTGCTGCAGTACATACTTGTGGCCACCAGAGGGCGTTGTGTTGCTTCAATAATTTGCATTCAGAGATCATTGCAAGCAGCACTCATGCTTTCATCTGTTTATAGTTCCAATATGGAGGACATTCTCAGAAGGGGCCAGTGATCTCTCCACAAGAAGCCCAGGCACAAGCAATCCTGCAGCAGGCCCAGGTACAACAGAGATTATCATTAAAGATTTTAGACGAGATATTTGTTAATATAGAGTCAGTGTTATATGTTATGTTCTATGTTAATCAACCATGATTTGTTTGCCGTTTGTTTTTCTCATTCTAGATTTCACTGAAGGGCCCTCCAGGACCGATGGGTCTTACCGGACGACCAGGCCCTCAGGTAACCACAGCGTTACACAATGTTTTGTTGTCACATACACTAAATACTTGACAAACACTGATCCCTTTCAACAGGGTGTCCCAGGACCATCTGGCAATAAAGGAGACAGTGGAGTCAGTGGCCCCCCTGTAAGTCTCTGATGTTATCAAAGCAAAAATTCAATATGCATATTTATAATTAACAATAGGAATTAATATTTTCATGTAACCTTCACATTTAGGGGCCACTAGGTTTGCCCGGTCCTCCAGGGCCAAACGGAAAGACAGGAAAGAGAGTAAGATATATCATGGTTTTGTCATAAGCATCAGGCCCACACTAAAATAAGAATATGCTTTAAGAGCAGTTGTTTGTGACGTGAACAGGGCCGAGCAGGAGGAGATGGCGGTCGTGGAGCACCTGGTGAAACTGGAGCTAAGGTATGTTGGTGTGTTGTCTGTGATCTCTGTTGTATACAAACAAGCACCTTTATGCTCTTTAAAGCTGTCTATAATTAAAGCAATAGTAAAAGAAACATCTTATCTGCCAATGTGAGTTACCTGCAGTCCCACTCTTTCTGAGTGAAAGCGGCGTCTTGGTTAATGCGACTGCAGAGTGAGCTGCATCTCTGATCCACATGCAGCAGATGGGAGCTTTGTCAGGGGAGACTTCGAGCACTATTCTGCTAATGTTTACACATTACCATATGTGAGTTCTGGGTGTAATGCTCCACTATGACTTCTCAGGGCGACAGGGGCTTTGATGGTCTGCCAGGTCTCCAGGGAAACAAGGGCCACAGAGTGAGTAGATTCCTAATGTGACATTGTCACTCTTTTATTTTTCATCGTTAACGCCAAATACCAACACAGCGTTTGTGGAGGCCTGACACGCTTTGTGCCAGATGTTTATTTGCATAATATGATCCTCATGATTGTGGGATTTCTGTAATGGCACTATATACTTCAAGCATCTGTTCATGCTTCTTTGCATTGAACAAAACTGTTTGAATGTTCTTGAAGATTGTTACTAATCCCTTTTATCTTCAGGGTGACAGAGGAAAGCCAGGTCCAGTGGGTCCTGCTGGAGAGCCAGGGGAAAAGGTATTTACGCTTTTAAACAAATGCACCAAGGAAAGAATATAGAGAATTATTATATAAATAATAGGTGTTTATGTAGTAGAGCTTTTTCAAAGCCATATAACAATAAAACATACTCTACAGACAGCTTCTGAACCACCTCCCTGCATCCACCAGTCAAGCTCCCATGTTCACGCTCCAACAGTGGCTAGTGGGTCCACCAAGCCCTAACACTGGTGTTTATTATCAAACCTTTAAAGATTTAATTATTTTAGTGAGTTATCTTCTGTATGGAAAAAATGAACACACAACTGTTTTGCATAAATAAACAAAATTCCACAAACAATTAATAATTGTCACAATCATTGTCTAAAATCAACAGGAAACATTCAGAAAGTAAAGCGTTCATACAGCAATACAGAAAAGTAAGTGTCTAATGGTTTTACGGTTCCCTAGAGACAAAGAAATCTGTAAATGAACAGCAACAGGATGTGACAGACTGAAGCTCTTGTCAAGATTGTATCAATTTACACACAGCAAATGGGCGAATTTAAAGAGCTAAGACTATTAGTCTTTCCTTGAAGGGAGTCGTGTCGTATTTGTCAGCCAGCGAATGTTTATAATGAGCTGCTTTTACAGATCACGTCTATGTGACAGGCTGCATCAGAGAGAAGTGTAGGTTTATCTTTGAAGACTTTTCCTTTTTGTTTTTCAGGGACCGGATGGACCCGTGGGACCAAGAGGACAACCGGGTGAGCCTGTACGTGACTAGACATGGCTCGAGATGAAAACAGATTATCAAGATCAGAAATGTAATGATTAAGGAGATATAGAGCTTATCATCTGAACTGTAAATATTGACAACGAAGTCAAAAGCGTTGCACAAGCTTTTCTTGTATAGATGCAGGTAATGTATTCCTTCAGAGACAAATTTTGAACTACAAAATATGTCTTTACGTGCTTCATTCGGGTTGCTTATGACTCACATCCTATCTCTCCGCCTGTGGATAAGGTCAGGGCTCAGCAGGGTCCTGTCCTCCCAAATAGATCTCTGGGAGTTTGAACAATTGCATTCTCAACAAAAAATAAATATAAAAAACAACATTGTCAGACTTTGTAAGACAAGAAAAACATATCACTGTGAAGGAAATGGAAGCGACCTAGAGATGGCAATAAACCGCCAGAAATTTGGTCTGCACATAAAAGCGATAAGAGACACGTTACAGGAAGATGTAGAGACGGAGCGAGAGGAGATAAAATCCTGGCCTGAATGATTATATTTCCATATCAATCACCTCCCAGGAGATCACAGATGTGGTGGTGGAACAGGTGGCTTGGCCGTCCTACAAAGAGGGAGAAAAAAATGAATGCGCAAACACACAAAACAGTCATGGCTTTGACACACATGCATTCCTCTGATGTTTCTTTCCTTTTAATTCTAATTGGTGAATTAATATTCAACAAACAAACATGTCTCTCCAGGTCTGTGGGTTAAATGTTGATTGTTTGTTTTGTCTTCAGGGAGAGCGGGGTCTTCTTGGGCCAAGGGGTCCACCTGGTCCACCTGGCCCGCCGGTGAGTCTTTGGCCCAGATATAATTCTCTGTTGTTAAATAAAACTGCAAACCTGGTTTAAAAAGGACTCTTATGTTGTGTATTAATGTGTGCATCGATAGGGCGTCAATGGAGCTGATGGAGTTCAAGGATCAAAGGGAAACATGGTCAGTCTTGTCAGAGTTAAAAAAAAAAAATCTTTTGATTAATTTTAGTCAAATTTGCACAAATAGTAAGTAACACGTTTCACAGACCAATGTACATGATTTTAGTAGTAGGGGAATTCGGAGCACCCGGAGGACACTGAGACAACATTTACATTTGAACCTGGGAAATAGAACCGTCTTGCTATGAAGCACAACTGATAAACATTATAACACGCACAAAGAAAACAAATAGTGTTGTAAAGAGTTAAATATGATCATAAATGTGTACTGAGAAATGGGAATAATAGATTCATATCAACAGATACTTTATTTGTCCCACAGTGGGGAAGTTTCTGTGTTGCATCACAAGTTAGGGAACAGTAGGAGTGAGGAGCACACAACTCAAGAAAAGTGAATATTAAGACACAACTATATTCTTTAAAAAATACAATAAATGAAGGTAACTATCTTTAGCTTAATAAAGAAAACAAAGAATATGGAAGTAATAATTCCTCAGCTCTGTAGAGAGTCTTTACCATGAGACATGTCTGTATGTGTTGTGTGTTTATAGGGACCTCATGGAGATCTAGGGCCCCCCGGTCAACAAGGAAACCCAGGAGTCCAGGTGATCACTTTCATTAAAACACATACAGTTATACATTTGACTTAAAAAGCACTAAAGTTTTTTGTAAAGTGTAAGTATATGTTTCAGATGTTGTAGAAATGCTATTCCGATGTCATCATTTTGTAATGTTTCTTCCTGCTGGGTGTAAATGACAACATCACACTTGGGATTTTTGTGTTGTTACACAAGGCCACGACTGAAATGTCACACATCCACAGCTGAATGAGAGAATCAAATTAACTTCAAAATGAGAAATCCAACAAAAAACCCTATCATCATACACACCATGGAGCACCTTACTTTGAAACCACAAAAACTAGTTTCTACCTCTCAATAAATCACAAGTTTTTTCACATGATTGTATTTTTGGCCTCTGCAACCTCTTTAGATCAGCTTTTTTAGTGAAAAAGCCCGAGCTCAGCCAATCAGCTCTCAGTATGTTTAAGATAAAATGTTAATAAGCACAGGACAGCATGTTGAAGTCTGATTTGTTGCTTAAGTAAGAGAAACAAAATGTATTTATGAAACAAACAAAAACTATGTACTCACTTTTGATTTAACTTTTATTATATTTTGTTAAGATGAGATAAGACAATGCAGTAGTCTTAGTAGCAGCTCCACAATGCTGTACACAGGCTGTGCAATCACCCTCCAATCTCCACCACTGTTGTGACCTGACGCATTCTTTGTTCTGGTTCAGGGCTCGCCGGGTCCTCAGGGTCCCATCGGATTGCCCGGGGAGAAGGTAGGCAGCATGTCTCTCACTTAATTTAGGAATTAAAGCCGCGACCTGGAGACCCCTGTCATCACACACCCCGAGGAGAGTAGACCTGTGCTGTCCGACCACTTTTGGCCAGAGCTCAGACAAGAAAGAGCCTGACAGCAAATCAATAAGCAAGAAACGCACGCATGACAGACACTCGGGCTGTTCTGGGCCATTGCTCTGCTGCTATGCAAATAGTTATAGTAGAGTTCATACACTTTTATCTTCCTTCTAGTCAAGCATTTCACAGAACAGATTTATAAAAAGGTGAAACAATGCAACAATTAAAACAATACATAAATTAAAACCAAGCAGTAGCTAAGAAGGAGATTTGCATATAAACCGATAACTTTCATATTTCTGGATTCACAAGATTAGATTGTGTGGTGAATCAGTTTGATGCAAATTACATGGAAAAACATTTGTTTTAACCAAATGTGCCTATTAATGCAAACTCAAATTCAAATGTATTTTTTACAATTTACCAAAGGATTAACATGGATGACTTTTTCCATATTTTTAAACGTTATAATAATATGTGTACTTATATTTTGCTGTTGTATATCTTGTCACCATACTCTGTAATGACAGAGTAAAAAAAGTTTTCTAGTATTTTATTCAAAACTGAGACCTCGCATTTTACGCCATTTTATTCAAAAGGCATAACATGAGATCTGACACTCAATACTGAGCTCAGATCTATTTCCACTGATTGATGTTCAGATTCTACAAGCTGATTATGTTTTGTACCTGATAGCTACAAACGCTAAAACAACCGACAAAGACATAGGAACATCACATGACCACTCTGAGGAGGACTGCACGGCAGCCCTCAAAACTGTCAGGAATGAAAATAAAATAAAGAATCAAAACTTGTAGAATCTATCAGAAGACCAAAAGGACCTTGTTGGACTATTTGGATGTTGAGATGTTTCAACAGTTGGACTGGAAAATCAAACACACATGTTCTTTAAAGGTCCCACAGATGACAGTGAGACTCAGGAACCAGGCCACAAGGTCTGAGGAACTGTCTGTCGACCTTTGAGACAGAAACACATTTTTGCACAGATCTGGGGAAGGATTCAAAAACACAAAGAGCACAGTAGCCTCTGTCAAAAAAACCAAGAAGGTCAAAACCAACAGAACTCTTCCTGGAGCTGTTTGATCTTTCAAACAGTGCAATCAGTCATGACCAAGAACCTGATGGTCACTCTGACCAAACTTTATTTAATTTTTACAAAAGAACATACATACACCAAACAACAACAACATGTGGAGAGATACATATACTGTACATACATAGACAACTATGGGGTGTTATTAGCGGCAGGATTAGGGAGACTATTCAGGATACAGATGTAAGGTACTAAGACATCCGCTGTGAACACTTGCTTCAAGGCGCTCAGACAATTATTTAAGAATTTCATTTATCTGTTTATTTGATAGGGAAAATGCACATCAGTATACAGTATCAGTATAAATAGGCCGGATTATAGCTACAAAGCTAGTTTTCATCCGTCAGTTCACATTCCAACTCGACAACAATTCGAAGATCCAATTAATGTCTTTGAGAGGCCCAGACAAAGCCCGGTCTTGAACCCAATTGACCGTCTCTGGAAAGACCAGACAATAGCTGTGCAGCTCTGTCTAACCTGAAAGAACTTGAGAATAACTGTGGAGAAGAATGGATAAACATCACGAAATGTTGGTTTGTCAATCGTGTAACTCGTCAAGTCTTGGATGTTTCCCAAGTAAATAAAGGGTGTGAATACTCATGTACATGTGATATCAGTGGATCAAATGGCAAAGAATCCTCAAACATACTCTTTCAATTTGTCTTTACGGAGTAGATTGTGGGGTAACCATGAGAATTTGATCAGTTTTAGAATGAGGCTTTACAACACAGGGTACTATTCACACTTGTACTTCTATGCTCTTGTCTAGAGTCACTGAACTTACTATCCTGTACTATCCTCTCTTTCTCCTAAGAGAAGCTGAAGGGAAGCTCTCTTCTCTTAAGAGAAGGAAAAACTTAACATCAATTATGTTTTACCTCATTCAGGGTCCACGGGGAAAACAAGGCATGCAGGGCCTGCCCGGCATCGATGGTCCTCCTGTGAGTATTACTACCATCCCAGAGTTTTTTGAGTGAGGGTCTAAGGCAGTGGTTCTCAAAGTGGGGCACCCCTAGGTGTATGCAGGGGCTCCCTCTAGGGGTACCCCAAAGAATCACTGGGGGAAAAAAATAAATAAAAAAATAATATATATATAATATAATTATGCCTGCTTCACAGAGGTGAAGCAGGCATGGAGTAATATAGTCAGGGTCAGGCTACATTTGGAGGCAGTCTGAGCAGTAAAAGTGTCTCCAGAGCTGACACAGACCATGTGGAACGCACATACGCGTCCAAACACACAGAGACACACAACAGTATTCTATTGCTCTTATAGTTTAAGTATATTGTCTGCTCACTTTGATATATTGTCATTTACAGTGTATATCATTGTACAGTAGTTTTGCTTATCTCTGAGTTACTGTTAATGACATAAAGATAGCGCCACCTAATGGATGAATACTGCCCATGCTTTCTGGGATAGTTTGTCATGGGCTCTCCTTTCAATGTGTAAATGTTGACGTAATTTGGATGAGTACATTTTGAAATATTCGAGCAACACTTTGTGGATGTGTGTCCCATAAAACATATTATTTTGCATCAAAAACACTTTCTCATAACTTGTTGCTTTTTTCTAACATGTAAGATCCTGGACATGTTTGAGGAGATGCTAAAGTTAAACTAAATAGTGTTATAGTCACTTTTCTGCAGGTTTGTCTGTTTTCACAAACACCTCATTTTCTCAGCTTTTTGTCTAAGACTGGTGCTTTTTGTCACACTCCCCTCTTTTCGACTGGAGATCACAGGAGAACAAAACAAACTAAGAACAAACTTCTTTTTGCTGCTGAAAGTAGACAGTCCTGTCTTTCAGACTCTGGTTTCATATTGGTCATAGCACACAATATTCTGTGAGTCTTAAAAGTCAGTGAAGTCATCAAAAATGGCTGGCAGTCAATGAGAACCTCTTTTTCAAGGGAGTCCTGTACAAAAATTACATACAATTACAGATTATAAAATAGTTCCATACAGATTACAAAATAGTCACATACAATTTCATAAAATTAATGGTAATAAAAACAGTTACATTCACTGAAGATGTCTCAAGTGCTCTCAATCTGGATCTAAAAGCATTCAATGAAATACAGTCAGATCATTTCCAGTTTTTTGCAATATTTACCATGTAGAAGGAGCAGCAAATACAAAAGCTTCTTTGTGAATGAAACCTCTGCCTTGTTATTGATTAATTTTTAGGCTTATTACGCTACTGTGTGGTGTTGGTCATTTGTGGTGGGACACAAGTATTTTCTGAGGGGTTACTTGGTGTAAAAAGTTTGAGAACCACTGGTCTTAGGCATAGATTGTAAATATTAACGGACGTAGTCACGCCTATCTCCGCCGTTCAAACTAGTGTGCCACCAGTTTTGGCTTCTATGGATTTCTAAAAAAAATGGAAATTAATGCACATTGATTAATTTATATGAACATGGTCCTTCCTTTGGACCAATGGCTTTTATTACAGCATTTGCTCTGATCTCTGATCTGTTGTTGGTGAATCGACAACTTTCTCTAAGACGACAACTGTTGTCATTGAACTATGAATACTGTATAATTACAGTGACCATTTTAAGTGAATATCACACAGTCTTCGATATCCTACAGCACCTGGACTCCTCGGGGACCTACGCCAGGGTCCTGTTCGTGGACTTCAGCTCTGCCTTCAACACGATCCTGCCATCCCTGCTCCAGGACTAGCTCTCCCAGCTCAACGTGCCCGATTCCACCTGCAGGTGGATCACTGACTTCCTGACAGACAGGAAGCAGCGAGTGCGTCTGGGGAAGAATATCTCGGACTCTCGGATTATAAATACAGGAGCCCCACAGGGCTATGTTCTTTCTCCCCTGCTCTTCTCCCTGTACACCAACCACTGCACCTCCAGCCACGACTCCGTGAAGCTGCTCAAGTTCGCGGACGACACCACCCTCATTGGACTCATCTCCAACAACGATGAGTCCGCCTACAGGAGGGAGGTGGACCGGCTGGTGTCCTGGTGCAGTGGTAACAACCTGGAGCTGAACGCCCAGAAGACAGTGGAGATGATTGTGGACTTCAGGAAGAGCACTGTCCCCCCGCCCCCACCCTCCGTGATGGACTCCCCCATCACCTCTGTGGAGTCCTTCCGTTTCCTGGGCACCACCATCACCCAGGACCTCAGGTGGGAGCCGACCATCAGCTCCCTCATCAAGAAGGCCCAGCAGAGGATGTACTTCCTGCGGCAGCTCAGGAAAGCCAAGCTGCCTGCACAGATGTTGGTGCAGTTCTACACGGCAATCATCGAGTCCATCCTCACCTCCTCCATCACCGTGTGGTTCGCTGGAGCCACAGTCAGGGACAAACAGAGACTACAGCGCATTGTGCGCTCTGCAGAGGAAGTGATCGGCCGCAGCCTTCCATCGCTGCAGGACCTGTACGTCGCCCGAGCTCGAGGCCGGGCTGGTCGTATCACAGCCGACCCCTCTCACCCTGCACATGGACAATTCCAACCACTCCCCTCAGGCAGGAGGCTGCGGTCCATCAGGACTAGAACCTCCCGCCACAAGAACAGTTTCTTCCCCTCTGCTGTTGGACTCTTGAACACTTCTTAACCTGTCCCCCCGCCCTTTTAAAGTCACTTTACTGCCCATCATACGTCACTTTACTTCACTGTACTGCTGTCACCTTACATTGTGTGCACCATGTGCTATTGTATATTGTAAATAGTAACTGTAACTCTATTTTAAATTTAAATTTATTCCTTAGAAGTGTTTTTTATTCTTTATTTTTTATTATCTCTTTCTGACTGTTATCTCTTTGTTATCTCTTTGTGAAAGCAATTTCCAAGTCTGTGACTTCCTGTTACTTACGTGGCGATAAAAATTACTCTGATTCTGATTCTGATATGATCCAAAAGTATAAGTACAAGTCTACGTTCAGAAATATGTCAAACACCAGCTTCTGAAATAAAAGATAATTATTGGAATGGCTATAAAAGCTATAAAATAATGATTTTGAGTAGTCCTTCACTTTCCTGTAGTAATTCATTTTAAATTAGCCTCATGTGAGTGCTCTTCATTTAATCATACAGTTGAGATGGATCTGTGCCAACCTTCCTCTTTTCCTTCAACAGGGTCACCCCGGGAGAGAGGGGCCCCCTGGAGAGAAGGGCGTCCAAGTGAGTAGGAAACTAAATGTATAAAGTTTTTGGGGAGAAATTGGGTAAGAATATGAAACGCTACAATGTAATACAAATGAATGTCAATGTAGCACTATGTTCTGCGTTGCTGTGTACCATGTATTTAGACCTTTGTAAATGAAAGATAAATATACTAGAACATTATTAATGCCGTGATACTATTTTATTTATTGAGCCTCTTTTCTCTCAGGGTTCACTTGGGGCTCAGGGCCCAGTTGGGTACCCAGGAGGCCGCGGAGTCAAGGTTAGTAAAGCCTCGTGTGATCTCTTCACTTCATCATATCAGATTATATCTTTATGCTGCAGACGAGTTGTTTTAGAGCATGTCTGACAGTTGGTCCCAGGAGAACTGCTAACACGAACAGCATTGACACTTGTCAGGGTTAGAGGGGATGAGGAATCTTATAAAGTAGTTTGTTATTCGCCCTGGAGCTGGAAGTTTTATGTTTTTGATCATCAAAGAGTCACTAGTTGTTATGTTGGGTCAAGATAAAATGAACACACATAAACAAAGTCTCAAACATTACAGGAATCAGTAGGTTGGGTTACAATTTCATTCAGATGTTAAAGTATTTTCAGAAACACTGCATATTTTATTATTATTAAGCTGTGACACGGTATGCCATGTGTCTTTATCGTGGTCAGGGGGCAGAAGGTGTCAGAGGTCTGAAAGGAAGCAAAGGAGAGAAGGTGAGTCCCCACAAAATTGACAAACAGAATGTTGATGACATAATGCATTAGTAATGAGCTGTCAATACTATTGATCAAATCTGACCTAATTGTGCCACAGGGAGAAGATGGCTTCCCCGGGTCCAAAGGAGATATGGGCGTCAAAGGAGACAGAGTAAGCACTGAGTACAGCTCAGTAATGCTTTCTATATTTATTATTGTTGCATATATGTATACTCATATTGTTTAGGGTGATACTGGACACCTTGGTGCACGAGGAGAGGATGGACCAGAGGGGCAGAAAGGACAAGCTGGACCCAATGGAGAGTCAGGAGGAGCGGGTGTTGCGGGGGAAAAGGTGGAATTCAATTTCTCATGCTATAAAACAACGACGTTTAAAGATAGAATAAAAAAGGTTGGAAAAAGACAATTGTGCGTTGTGCTTTACAACCAGGTACATGCTGAGATTGTTACTTTTATGTCTTCACATTTACATAATAACATCTCGAATAACCTCCTGTTAAAGCCAAACTGCTGCTGAACCACAGTAAACGCTGAAGCGTTTAATCTTTCTGTCATCACTTGGTGCAATACTTCTGAAATGGCCTCTAATATCTTGTGCAAAGTCAGCACTATAGCATTAAAGACTTAATTAAACGGCTATCCTGCACTTTTACATTTGCAAACCTTTTTGATATAGCTCTCACATCGACCTGTTTTGCTGATTTGTTCTTAGGGCAACCTCGGTGTGCCAGGGCTGCCTGGATATCCAGGGGGACAAGGACAAAAGGTAAAATGCTATAATGGCTACATGCTCACGCTTCTGCAAATGTCATTATCCATAAAACAGCGCTGAGCAAAAATGAATGGAAAATACAGAATTAGCATGTATGACCATTTTTCAGTGACAAAATAATGGATTTTATTTCAAATTTAGACCAATTATTACAAAGATTTAATGGGATTTTAGGGATTTTGTGTTGTTTGACGTATACAGGCCATCATAGTCTCTCAGGAATAAGCAAAACAAAAACAAAACTGCCGTTCCTTATTTATGGGTCTTAAGAGCTGTATCCTGTCTGATTAGAAATAGAGTGTGATGAATAGCTTTTTAAAAAGAGTAATTCCATTAGTAGTTAATCAGCAACATCAATTCATTACATGTTGATGAATGGTGTGTTTAAAGCTGTGTTGAACTTGTGGATTGCTGTAATCTGATAAATACGGTGACGTGGATGATGTGCGATGTGTTGGAAGTTGCTGCTGATTAACCTTTTGTCTTTAGGGGTCTCTCGGCTTCCTTGGTTTGGCAGGAGCCTCGGGAGAGAAAGGACGAAGGGTAAGGACACTTCTGCATTAGTAATGATGGTTCCTGAGGATTAAATGTATGACTTTGTGGATGAACGTTAACCTTTCGAACGCAGGGTCCGGCTGGTCAACAGGGGCAAGGGGGCCAGAGGGGTCCAAATGTGAGTAAACCACGACTGACCCTACACTCTGACCCTATACACTGACTAAGATGCTGTCTATAATTTGGATATTAATATGCACAGGCCATACCAACAGAGTCAGCAGATTAGACATGAATATGCAAAAGTAAATATGAAATGGATTATCTAAAAGAGTTTGGGTTAAGGTTACTAAATGTAGTGTTACAATTAGCGTGACAAAAAAGGTTTAACATATGATCCATTCTTTCATTATCAGGTCACAGAATTGTGTGTCAGTAGTTTCAACTAACTAACAGGGGATCTTCAAGTAGATCTAGAAATTAAATTAATTATTTAAAAAAATATGTATTATAAATGCATACTTTAAATGTGCTCTCATAAATGGAAACTTGTTCATTAACCGTACCCAATATAATACTATTCTTTTTAAGTAGTAAATGAGAAAGTAATATTTATTTATATAGCACATTTTTTACAGACCAAGGTCACCCTAAAGCGCTTAGACCCACCAAAGTAAAATGGATCTTTGTCCTTTTTTATAAAGTAGATCCCTGTGGCAAAATTGTTGAATATGACTTTTTTAATTCCTTTTTAGTCCTTACCATTTTTAACTTGGAGAATCTTGATTAACAATTCACCAAAACAGCCTTAAAGCCCCCTTCTAAAGGCGAAAGCAACGTTTGTTTTGCCTATCAATGTCCCAATTTAAAAGTGAAAAAAGCCAATTAAAAAGTGTGGTTTCCATAGTGAGTGGGAGACATGTTGCATCACTGCAGCACACTGGCAGATAAGTTATGCACAGACACTTGTTTGTTTTCTGACAGGGAGCTCGAGGGGGAAGAGGCGCACGAGGGCCCACTGGAAAACCAGGAGAAAAGGTGACCACAACACACACACGCATGCACGCACATACATACACACACACACACACACACACACACACACACGCACACACACACACACACACACACACACACACATACACAGACACACACCTCAATGTGCACACAAAGTTAATATAGCAAACACACACCTGGTTGCCTCATGAAGTATGGATGGATGAACAGACTGCGCTGGAACGGGTTGTTGCTGTTCACTTCTAAATGACGGGCCATCTGCTGCAGCGAGGAGCTGGTGTCTGGCACAGAGGCCTCGGTTTACACTCTCACCCTCAAAGAGCAGCTTGGGAAATAACTTGTTTGTGATCACAGAACTAAAATCCCCCGATTCCTGTTTTTATTCACTCAATAGGGTTCTGCTGGACAAGATGGTGCCCCAGGATCCCCTGGTGAGCAGGTAAACTCCATGTCAATGTAAGCATGTGGTGCAGTGGTCCCTCCAGGAACATTCTCAAAATAACTCTCAAAAGGCGAAATCTGCCAAGTACTCGTTTCTGTCTTTTCAATCAGACATGTCCATGTTCTCACATGTCTCACAAGTTTAATAAATCCTATTCATTCTGGCTCATTTCTACCATTTTAGTTTACTAACACTGTGGGTTAGTAAAACAGCAAGGGACCACTGCCAGCAGCCATTCATGAGTAATAAAGGAAAGTATATTAAATACAATTTGATTGTCTTCCAGGGACCACAAGGACCACAGGGAAGGCCAGGTGAAACAGGACAAAGAGGGCCTAATGTAAGAGACAATAATGAACAATAAATGAACAATATTATATGTTGCGATGGAATAGCTTTATCTTTTTCTACTGACACAAATCTGTAGGGCCCACCAGGAAAAGATGGACTTCCAGGCCATCTTGGACAGAGAGGCGAACCAGTGAGTGATGCTAAATTGCTAAATTTCCAATCGCTAAACTTTATGATTTACTAATGTTGTGTTGCAGGGGTTCCAAGGCAAGAATGGCCCTCCAGGACCTCCGGGTGTCGTGGGACCACAGGTGACGACATTGTGAATATGTTGTAAATGAATACTGGACAAGAAATGACACAAATCCTTCTCTCTTTGACTTAAGGGGAAAACTGGTGACACTGGCTCAACAGGTGACAGAGGTCACCCAGGGCCACCAGGACCCCCTGGAGAACATGGTTTACCTGGATCTACTGGAAAGGAGGGGGCCAAGGTCAGTTACAGTATGTCAGGATCATAACCATTCTACTCGTGTATATGCCTAATATCCTGTACTAGTTGTAGTGGCTCATTTAAAAACCGCCACAGTGAGCCTGATGTGAACGTTTTCTGACTCTGAAGATTCAATGAAGTACATTCATTTAAAAAACAAAACAAAAACTGATGACATCACAGGTGTCTAAATATTGGCAGTGTCCCTGATAATAAAGCTGCTCTACCTGTTTTTTTAACTTGTCTTATACAGTTTTTAATCATTGTGACATTCATTCTTTAAACTCAAGAATTTTAACCTTTTAACCAAAAACCATTATATATTTTTAACTTGAACTTAAACACTTTTTAGCATTGTAACTGTTTGGTTCTCACACTAGTATTATTATTTCTTCAGCTAATTAAATGCAATCGGATTCAAATTTCAAACAAAATTTCTATTCTTTTCATTTTTTTGTTTTAAAAACCTTCATGGTCCCTCTGCACTGTGAGGGCCATCCAATGTGTTTAGAAGCATTTCATCTGGTATTTTAAAGTAGCACTTTCTAAATCAAGTCTACCCTTTTATCTGCTCTTAGTCCATTGGATAATGACACAAATACCACTAACCTGGACAAGGAACAGGTTTGGTCCCAATACTTTTCAAAAATATGAAAATTGTGTCCCAATACCCAAACATAAATAGTTAGATAAGAGTCAAAACAAAAGACTTTAGCCATGTTTGGATTTTCTCTCCACAGTCCCCTAACGGTTAATACTGGCTATTAGCAGATATCGAGAGTGGTTTTTGTTCCATTCTTCTGTTGTTTTCAAGTGCAATCCACAAGGTGAGGGTGGATTTCTGTTTTCTGTAATCTCATAGTTGTGGAGAAGCCTGCATATCTTGACCACTTTGCTCCTTCTCTAAAATCACTTGTGTGTTTTCAGGGAGACATAGGTCCAGCAGGTGCACCGGGGAAAAGTGGCCCGGTCGGACTTCAGGGCTTTAGAGGCGGTAGAGGAACCCCTGGGGCCATGGTAATACAAGACTCTTTTTACATCGCTCTTTAAAGGGATCTGAAAAAGGTTCCAAGAAAATATATGCAAAAGAAGGCACAGTTTCACTAAGTTGAAGTTGTTGTTTTACTTGTTTGAACCTTGTCATTGTTTTTGCGTAATACAGTATAAACAGTGAGTGGATGGATGCAGTTATCGGTTTGTAAACATAGCCATACCTAAACCTTGTTCCAAATCCTTATTAAATATGTATAATAATGTCCTTCTCTGAATACTGTTATTTTAACTCACAGAAGTGTGGATCCAGATTGGAATCCCTTCCTCCATCCAATAGTTTGTTCCTTGTCACATTTCTGAGGTTCCTTGAACATTTAGTGAGGATCTATCCCTACGTTTTGAAGTTTGGTTGGCAGCAGACAGTCAGACAAACAAATCTATTGAAAACATAACCTCAACCTATGTATGTACAGGCTCCCTTCATTGTTAGAACAAATACATTTTCGATTCACCTGTCCCTCCAAGCCATAAGCTTCTTCTGTCAGTGTGTTTCTCATAGACTCTCATCAAGGGCTTTCATTATAAATATTTGAAATCAATTCTGAAATGAATGTGTGTTTATCTCCAGGGTCCTTCAGGTCTGAAGGGTGGAGAGGGTCTTCCTGGTGTTGCCGGACAAGTTGTAAGTTGTAATGACACACTTTTACTACCAGATGTTGTCGTTAAAAGATTACTCAAAGGTTTCCTTTGGTTGATCCATGTACTAGACCCGCCACCATCAAGAGAGTGACATCTCCATTATGTGGTTTTACAGTTTTGAAGGATAGATCAACTGACCTTACTTGTATTATTATGCTCTTGATTGCTGTTTACAAGACCAAATTATAAAGTCATGATCAACATATGTATAATAAATCAATCTTTCTCAAAAGCATTACCCTCTTTACATTCTGCAAACAGCCTGTTACATCGGCCTCCCTGAAGACTGAACATATGAATGGAGGCTGTTTCCATGGGGATGTGTGATCTTGACCAAAGCTCTAAAATCAGAGGGTGAATCATGTGCATCTCACCTCTTGTTTCAGGGTGCTACTGGAGAGAGAGGGCCTGCTGGGCCAGCTGGTGCTATTGGACAGCCCGGGCGGTCTGGAGGCGTGGGGCCTGCTGGGCCCATGGGAGAGAAAGGAGATCCGGTAAGAGCTGGGACATGAACAAATGTTACTTTAGCAACAGACTCTATATGGAGCATATGAGCCTCACTGATGGTAATAAACAAGTGATTGTTACAGTTTCTTTAAAGACATGTTTTATAATTTTGTTGTTTAGGGAGAGAGGGGGCTTGTGGGACCAGCGGGGCAGGATGGTGAACAAGGGCCAGTTGGACTACCAGGGGCTGCGGGGCCTCTGGGACCTCCAGGAGAGGATGGAGATAAGGTAATTCTCCAACTGAGAGCCTCTCCGGTGCCAGTGTGACTTATTTTGTGTTCATTTTATAGGGAGAAACAGGAGTTCCAGGCCAGAAAGGCAGCAAAGGGGACAAGGGAGAATCTGTGAGTATTGCCCTGGGGTTACAGTTTAGTTTTAGTAATAAACAAAACAAAAATTATTAGAGTGATAAACTGGGCATATTCATATTTTGCACGTTCTCCAGGGACCACCAGGACTATTTGGAATTCAAGGACCTGTTGGCCCTCCTGGACCTCCGGTAGGTCTTTTGATCATAACGATGAAAGGTAAACACACTATTCTCCCTCATACTGGGTGTGACGTGTTGTGCAGGGTTCAGATGGAGAGACTGGGCCTCGGGGACAGCAGGGAATGAACGGAGTCAAAGGGGATGAGGGGCAGAGAGGCTTCAAAGGTGCTTCTGGTCCGTCTGGTCTACAGGTAAAATCAGGAATTGAGCAGACACACACTTTCATGATACAGTAACTAAACTTGTGTGTGGATTGTGTCGTGTGTAGGGGATGCCTGGACAGCCTGGTGACAAGGGTGAAAATGGGCATGTTGGTTCAATGGTAAGCACTGCAACACACTATTCTTATGTGGCCACACTTAAAGGACGTTCTGAAACGGCTGCCCTTTAACTGATCTGCCACACAGCCTGAACTTAGCTCATTTGATTATGTTTAGTGCAAACCAGACTTACTCTTTATTAAATTACACCTTTGTTATTTGTAACTGTACAATATAATGTTAATTTTAATGAGGATAATAATATCTTCTCTCTTTCAAATCATTTGTGTTAAAAATAGATTAATGTTAAAAATGTGTGAAAAAAATATTGATTATTAAACATTCACCATAATTATAGTATCACAAGGTATGATATTACATTTGTTATTCATGTTAAACAATGCAGCTCATTATACAAAAAAGATTATCTTGATATTATCGATTACTGAGATAGCACTAGTATGCAGGACAGAGAATGCAAGCAATGCAAGTAGGATGCTTTCATTTTTTAGTATTCAAATTCAGTTTAGGCAATTTGAAAGACGTGTTACGACAAAATTATCATCATTTTTCCCATGACTCGACAGTGACATTGATTAGATTCACAATCATTCATTAAGTCTAAAAGTCCCTCCTACTGCCGAACATCATGCACATGGTATTTGAATATTGTCACTACTTTTAGAGACCTTTGATGATCAAATAATTAGACCGTAGGTGATTTGTACTGACAAAGAAGATGTGGAAATACAGAGAAATGATCTTGAAAACTAACATAAAAAATAGGACTTATGGCAGTTACCATAGTTTACACACACATCCAGCTGCCCTAACTTACACTATGGGCTCATTGGAATGTTCTGATGTCACATGAATGCAACCTATTAGCCACTGTGATCTTTGCGCTTTTTCTATGTTTCATTTCACAATAATTGCACCAGTGAAACGTGACATCATGACATCTTTGGAAAAACGGTGAAAGCAAAAGCAGGCAGAGGACACGGAGGGGCAGGCCGCAGTGGCTCTGACTGTGCGCAGAAAGACGGTGTGACAGCTGTTAATCAGATTAGCCAGAGCTTGTGCTGTCTAATGAGCACCGTCCTTTGTGACAGTCATCTCACAATGCTGTCAACCATGAACGCTCGCTCCACCAGATCCTCTATGGCCTGCCTTCTCCAGCAGCGGATTAGGAAGGAAACGCATCAAAATGGAACCAAAAACAAGAGCGCAGAGACACTCAGGACTCAGTGGGGAAGTTTCATTCATGTGTGAGTGGTGCAGATCACACATTTATCTTGCAGAGAAGCAGCTCTCCATGAGAAGCTGCTTCCTCTCCGGTCCTTTGCAGTGTAGAGAAGGGCACATTGTCTTTCTAACATTTAAAAAACAAGCTCGGAGACATCAGAGTGACGCACCACTCGATAGCTGAAACTGAGAAAGGAGGATGAATTAATTGCTTGGTTCTGCAGTTGTAAAGTCAAATCGAATGCCGTGGCTGGTTGTAAAAGAATAGTCTCGCTGATACCAGACAAGATATTTGATAACAAGTGTGAGTGGGTGAGAGGTTATGGAGAAATGAGAGGGCAGTGTCAAATTGAAGGTAATGACCTGTCTGGATGTCATCGTCGTGCCTCTGCTCTCTACTAATCATTAATGCGAGGGTCATTGCACAGCACCATAAGACATCAGGGTTTCTTCAGGTGGAAATTAGAGTTTGCATATTAGACATATGATTTCTTGTCATGTACATAGCAGCAGTTCTGACATTTGGATAATATGATAACATTCATTCACACAGGGACCCCCGGGACTACATGGACCGAGAGGGCCACCAGGCTCCATCGGTGGAGAGGTAAAGTGTCAACCCTTCAATTCATATACTTTTACCTGAACTTTGTTGTGTATATATATATATATATATATATATATATATATATATATATATATATATATATATATATATATATATATATACTGCACAACTCAAATGCAGTTCAATGTTGCTGAGCTGTGACTACAGATTCAGCTTACCATTTACAGGTTAAAACCACGTAGAATACTACTATTTCTGCAGTGTGCAGCAGAAATAACTATGTCAAAACACTAACAGACAATTTATCAAAACACATGCAGGGTGCATGGGGAAACAATTGCCATTGTGAAACAAGGCGATTGACAAAACAATCACAGGATAAAAGCAATGAAGTGCTATATCTCTGTTCAGACAAAGAAATTGTCATATCGAGGCATCCGGCATCTCAAGTAATAATATTTTTCCCATGGGAAGAAGCTGGAACATGGATTTTCCATGGTGGTCAGAGGAGTCTTGAGTTTAGAGCGCTCCTTTCTTTGGTTGTGATATAATCACTACTTAGACCAATAGACCGTTATCTTTATAAATCAATAATTACATTAAATTACGACATTATATAATTACTCAAGTCTTAGAACAAATCTAGAATGAGCCCTTCTTGTGAACGATTGTTCTTTCCTGGAACTCCCTATCTTCTCCTAAAAGGTGAATTATTTAGTAGTGTATAATCCCACAGAGAGATTTTATATAGCATTCTATGAATCATTAAGCAGTATTAGACTATCATCCCTGAGAGCCAGTTATATTTACCCCTGGTAATGGTTGGCTCTCCACAGTCTCACACTGGTCAATTATTCACTGCAGCACTGGGATAGTGCTCCATCAGTGGAAATACTGTAGTGGAGAGAGATGCTTGGATCTATAAATGGATTGATACAGAAAAGTGGGAGGAAGCAGAGTCAGGTGAGGGTGGATGACAGCTACAGTTAGAGTGAGTGCTCATGTTCTTCTGTGCACCAAATATTTCATTCAGCTCAAAACACAAAATGCTCATTTCCATCTAATATGCATGCACTCACAAATATGCACACACGAACAAAACTGATATGACCCACTTGACTGACTATCCACCTGAACTCAAATGCTGACAAACAAGTCATTGTTTTTTCAAACGCATGAATATTTCAAAGAAAGCCCTGTTTTGTCTCCCCACAGGGCCATGCTGGATTGCAGGGTGGAGTTGGTCAGCCTGGACTGGTTGGAGAGAAGGTCAGCTATGGCCCTCAGCATGTGCTACATATACAGTATATATGGCCTGTTTTAGCACACTAAAGGCCATCTCTTTCCTAGGGTGAGGACGGAGAAGCAGGAAACCCAGGCCCCCCTGGTGAACTGGGTATTGCTGTGAGTCAAAAATGTTGAAATTTTTCTTCACTATCCATTTAATTACTGACATATTTTCTTATTGCAGGGAACAAAAGGAGAGTTTGGAGACAAGGGTGACACTGGTACTCCTGGAGTAGCAGGACCACCAGGGCCAAGAGGAACACCAGGCGAGGATGGGTCCAAGGGCCACATCGTGAGTGTTTTTGTGGGTAGTTTGTTGAACTGTGCAATACATGAGAAACTACTGCTTTTATCCCTAGGGTCCTCCTGGGTTTCCTGGAGATCCTGGACCCCCTGGGGAACCTGGAAGCAATGTAAGTTTTGCAGTTGTCCCATGTATTTGCTTTGTATTATTTTCAGAAATTGTATCATTTTCAATGTTCTCTTTTTCCACAGGGGGTGGATGGTGTAGCAGGGCCTAAAGGAGACAATGGAGAACCAGGAAAAGCAGTATGTTTTTATTCTTTGTCTTTCCATGTTTATTCATTAATTTATGTATTTTATTCTGACACCATTTTGTAGAATAAAACAACAAATACACCGATACATACAAAATGGAATGGATGAATATGGTTCCATTCTCACCCATTCAACTCAGACCCACGCACATGAACACACTCATAGACGGACAAACACACATCCTTATACTTCAACTCCTATGCTACTGAATTGTTAAATAAAGTAAAAATATTATTCTTTTATTATGCATAACTATCAACTTCTTAAAATGTATGGACGATGTTGTAGGGACCCGCTGGAGCATCAGGAGAACCAGGACCTTCTGGCCCTCCTGGACGACGGGTAACTTATTTTCATTATCAATGGTGCTCAATATTATTAATGAGTAACATCTAATCATCAATGCTGTTCTCTCTTTTAGGGTCATGTTGGGCCAGCTGGAAAAGAAGGGAAGCAGGGGATGAAAGGGGCTAAAGTAAGAATATTTTATATTGATGTTGCATCTCTGTAATAATTGTATGTCAATTGTTTTGTTAGAAGGTTCACTGAGTTGTTCTGCTCTACAGGGTGCAACAGGAGGGCAGGGTCCTGTTGGAAGGACCGGCCCAGTGGGAGCACAAGGGCAGCCAGGGAGAGACGGTCCTGAGGGACTGAGAGGCATCCCAGGGCCTGCGGTTAGTAGTCCATTACGTTTATAAGCACTTTGTGTTTCTTTGATAGATTTATACAGATTACTTACCCATTTAACAACTGTAATAGTTTGTATGTGGTTGATTGCCTTCAGGGAGAACAAGGGTTGAATGGGCCGCCAGGACAAACCGGACCACCAGGACCAATTGTAAGCTCAAATTTAAGACAGAATGCCTTTACTTTCAGTTACACAAAAAATGAATCATTGCCCTCTTTCCAGGGCCCCAATGGACTCCCAGGCCTGAAAGGAGACCCAGGAACTAAGGGAGATAAGGTGAGTTTAGACCTGAGATACTGGGCACGAATCCCTGTGACGCGGAGCTCATGAAGCATGTCTGGGTGCAGGGTCACGGAGGCCTCATCGGTCTAATTGGTCCACCAGGAGAACCAGGAGAGAAGGGAGACCGAGGATTACCAGGCGCTGAAGGTGCTCATGGGCCTAAAGGAGATCAGGTATATCATGGACTTCATCTGTACCCTGAGATTAGAATGGTTTATTAAGAAGTATGTTATGTATTCAGGGTAAATCTGGACAACAAGGTCCTACAGGCCCACCGGGACCTCCCGGGTTATCTGTAAGTAACAAGTGCATTGATTGATCCAAAAGATTCATGTATTATACTGGATCTGTATTATGACTATATTTATCAACGTATGTACAATCTATATCACAAAACAAATAAAATATTTAAATCCTTCCTTTCGTCTCTCAGGGTCTAGCAGGTGAGAAAGGATCAAAGGGAGACACGGTGAGTTCAGTAATCCATCTTATTATTGTCCGCACACCTCGGTTTGGTCAGTGTCTGCCAGGACCTGTGTGTAAGAAGTTTTTTGGATAAATGTTCCATGTCTTATAATTGTGCTCCAGTGTAGCGCATGACTTTGGAACTAAAGAGCCTGCTGCATTGGCTTATGTGTGATTTTTCCATTGGGCTTTTTAATAGGATTTGCTTCTGGTGCATGCGATATTATGAAAAGCACTATAATGTGTCCTGAAAGCTTAGGATTCATCCATAGAGTGCTGATGTGCATAGCTGGATAATCTTATAAACATCCTCATCTTCCTGGCTGAGGCTCAAACATCTAGTGTTCTAGAATCACAAGGGTAAAGCCTTTTCTCTCTTTCACAGGGAACTGTTGGCATTAGGGGAGACACAGGACCAGCTGGACCACCTGGACCTGCAGTAAATTACTTTATACACTGTACATTTGCTGGTGCATTTAATGTGTACGATTACTTATTTTCTCTGTGTCTTATTCCTAGGGACCACCTGCAACATATGTGGAGCCGTTGCCAATTAGGGAAGGCAAGCGCAAGAAAAAAAGGCATTTGGATCAAGAATTAGCATCAGCCATAGAAAGCGACTTCCTCCAAGGAGACGAGGCTCTGGAGGATGCAGAGGGCATGGAGGAGGTTTTTGCCTCTCTCGCCTCCATGAAGACTGAGGTAGAGCTGATGAGGCGGCCCCTGGGAACCTTTGAGAGCCCTGCACGCACCTGCAAAGAGCTCATGATGGTCCAACCGAAGTACAAAGATGGTAAAGCTATTTAATTAGCTGTGTGCTCACTCAGCCTATTAGCAGCAAATGAAGCAGTAATCCTATTATCTTGAATGTGTCCATTGTCAAACACCAGGTTAATATTGATTGATGTCTCTTCTGTAGGAGAGTACTGGATAGACCCGAACCAAGGCTGTCACAAGGACTCTATCAAGGTCTATTGTAACTTCACGGCAAACGGAGAGACTTGTCTCTACCCGGACAAAAAGATTGAGACGGTAACTAAGCCTCACAGAGCAAATGCTGTCATAATGCATCTTACTTCCAATCACTCAACCACTGTACATTTGTGATACTCAGCATGCTCTCTCTTCTCTCTTCTAGGTCAAATTATCATCATGGAATAAGGAGAAGCCTGGAAGCTGGTACAGCCAATACAAGAAAGGAAAGCAGGTACTTACTGAACAGACCCTTTTAACATTCTACACTGCCTTTTTTTGCTCTTGCCATATATCTTTATACAGTATCTCAGTTTTCCTTCAGTGAAAGACTGCGGCACCCTCAGCGTTATAGCAGAGCATTCATCCCCACCGCTGTCAGACTGTACAATAAGTCACTTTGAGTCACTTATGACCTGCACTAAAACAGAAAAACTCGCTCAGCTATAGTCACTAATTTTTATCATACATAATATATCCTGCACAAAAGAGACTATATTTATGTTGTACACTTCCTGTCTTTATGCACACCCTGAGTGTCAATGCCATTGTGTGTCACGTACGTTTCCCCATTGTGAGATCAATAAAGTTTATCTTATCTTATTTAAAATGCAATGTTATAGTAATCATGGTTAGTAGAGATATTACTTTTTTGAGAGTTGTTGGCTATATCTACTGTGTATTCAGGGAATTCAATTGAAATATATTTAGGGACATTTATTTTCTATCACAGTTTAAATTAGCATTCTGAAAGCGCGTTTCTCATGCTGTAGCTTGAGGTGCTCTTCAGCTTGTCCTTTCCACCAGCCAGCAGCACATCTCTCATGTCGCCCCTCCCTCTCTCCTCCAGTTCTCCTACATTGACAGAGATGGGAACCCGGTGCATGTGGTCCAACTGACCTTCCTCAAACTGCTCAGTGCCACAGCCTCTCAGAACTTCACCTACACCTGCCAGAACTCAGCGGGGTGGTTCGACAGCACGTCTCTGTCCTACCAGCATGCCCTGCGCCTGAGGGCCAGCACCGATGAGGAGCTGAGCCAGAGCAAGAGCCCGTTCATCCACGCTGCACATGATGGATGCAAGGTCAGTGTGGACAGGGGCTTTGTGCAGGAGAACAGACACCGACCAGATAGAATGTCCGTTAATTGGAGATCAGTAAAGACCACTCCTCATTTCATAACAGTAATTCACTTTCTGGAGGTGGAAAATCACCAAAAAGATAAAACTGTTCTATGGAATAATCTCTGCTGAATTTTGAGTTATCAATCAATCAATCCATTAATCAATCAACTTGTATTTGTAGAGCGCCTTTCCTACACAAGGCAACACAAAGCGCCCCACAACCCAACACACATCAAGCATAAATCATAAACATTAAAATCTACATGGACATTAAAAAATGCAATTACAATCCCACAGAGCATTAAAAACAAACATTAAGCTGAGTTATATTATATAAAAACATAACAAATATAAATATAATCATGCATGGGTTATGTCATATTGTTGGCGATTAAAGCAAAAGGAAAAACATTAACACACTAACAAAAAAAGGCCCCAGGGATCCATGGGTTCTGATCCCTGGGGCTGACGAGGGTGAGGCCGTTAGCTCCACGGTTGCATGTTATTGTATATTTTATTCATGTACCCGGGACATGCAGCGCTGTTTAGCTGCTGGAGAACATTTCTGTCTTTGAGCTTAATGCTTTGTCTCTTCAAATAAAGACCACGATGGCACAGGTTAGCGCTCTTAGCAAGAATGATGCCGGGTTTATATCCACCTTCAGACAGGTCCGTTTGCATGCATAGGTTTCCTCTGGGTGCTGCAGTTTCTCCCTGAGCACTGAAAACGCATACAATAGTTTTGGTTTAATGAGTGTAGGTTTGTGTGTGCGACCGTGGGACACCAGCTGGAAATAACCCCAAGGCTACAATCTGTGGGATTTATAGCACTGCTGTTCATTAATACTCACTGCCCCCTCTATATACATACAAAGTAATAATAATAATAAGGAGAAGAATAACTTAGAGCAAGAGTTTAACACCTTGGACCCCTCTTTCTGTTGTCGACCAGCGGGCTTCTTGCTGAACTGTCCCAATGAATGAGTTGCACTGTGAAGTAGTGAGTTTGTAAAAGCTATCCCGAGCCGCTTCAGTCAGACTGTTCAAACCAGAGACAGTTGTATATTGAAAAATATTCTGAGAAAAGTAAGTTAAAGAAAGTGAGACAGAACTTACTTTTTGTTAGTTGAAATACATCTTTTCCAAATTTTTTTTCATTTTTCTTTATTCTATGATATGATGACTTTTAATGGCTTTGAAAATTTTTTTTTTTTTCCTTTTCAGCTCCGTTCCGGCCAGGAGAGGACGGTCCTAGAGATCAATTCTTCTTCAGAGTTACTTCCTATTATAGATTTTGCTCCATCAGATTTTGGTCACAACAATCAGAAGTTTGGATTCCAAGTCGGACCTGTATGTTTCAATGGTTAACCACTTGCTGAACAAGACAAGACTTTGGCAGTTACCACTATCTATATTTATTACTGTTTTAGTGTGGTGACCAAATGGTGCTTGAGATTCAGTTTACAGCCAAGATGGACTCTGTGAAATACCAAAGGGAAATACTGCATTCTACAGTTTGTATTTAATTGTGTTGTGTTTTTCTCGCTCTGGTTTGAGTGCGCTGTAATTTTTCCTTGAGAAATGCACTGTCAGACCTACACCACTGTATCTGTGAGTTTGGTCTGTTGAATGGGAACTTTTAGACATTCAATGGAAACTACCTAATTTAAACTCTGGGCTGAAACAAGCCAGAGAAGATTTTTTCATTATCAAGACAATTGTGTAGCTGTTGGGAACCATGCCTTGCATATTAATTCAGCACTTGGAACATTATTAATTTCCAGTGTTGGTGAATGTTAAATCGTCCTTTCTACCCTTCACCAGTGAATTAGCTTGATTAGTATTCAATAAGTGTTCATGGTTATTGAGCCTCACCGAAACGGATAAGGTTGTTTCCCTCGTTCGGCAGCTTCATCCTTTTTACTTTAGAAGATGTTTCTATTGAAAGCTGCGTCACGACTGGACTTCAAATGGCTTCAAGTGCACACGGAACACATTTTTCATAAATTGATAATAATACTGGATATTAATATGTTTTTTATTATTGCAACATTCAGATCAGACTTACAACATTATGAAGGTAACTGTTGCATGTTTGGTCATTATTGGTTTGTATTTTATGAGTGGACTAACAGAGTGCTGACGTCACCCATAGCAACTGACGGATGTTGAAGAAGTCGATTTGAACATAAGCTCGCTTGGTACTTCTCAAGTATTTTCTGCCAGGGCCTCCCATATAGGAAAAAGAAAACAAGCTCTCAGCCCAAAGGGTCATAAAGTGACTCACAGAATGTAATAAGATGAAGACGGCCTGATGTGTGCCCAAACTTTTTTGTTTAGGCACAACCAACATGCATTTCTTAATAGTAGGGCAATGTTAGGTACCCCGGCTTTCGTTTAGTGAGTTTTAGATGCGCTTTAGGTGAAGCCATGGAAACGTCGTCCCTGAGCACTTCCCTATAGAGCTAGCGGGTTGGAATAGTCCATCTTTACACAGTTTATGGTTTCAAGTCCAAATTTAGGTAAGTAGTCATAATAATACACCTTCTCTTTGTTCTTTAGTTAAAATATTTACACTGGTGCTAAAGCTATTATTGTCCACTTTGTCTGTAAAATGTAGTGCAAGGGGAGAAGTGGTTATTGGTTAGTTACACGAACACGTTTTTTTCTAATTTATTGATGTTCATACGATTAAATGCCCATCACTCTCTCACTCACCAATGCAACAGTTGTATCCTGTTTTGGCACTGCTCGATTTTATTATTCCCCGAGTCTGATCCCTCATTCGCTCTGAAGATCGTGGTGGAAAAGCCTTTGAGGCAGCAAGACGTCAATCTATCTGCTCAGACAATGTCCCTTATAGCATCTGGAGAAAAAGGACTTTGTAAAAAAATACTTCTGAAATGAAAACCAAATGTCTTCATGCTGAAAAGTACTGTTGAAGCATTGTGTTATGTAATAGACATGTAAACATGAATGTATTTTCATTTTCACCAGGTCAGCCAGTCCACTTGGGTCATATCAGTCCTACACATGTTGTATAGTTTTTGTTTTTCTAATGTTATGTACTGTACAGTTCTGTTTGATCGAGTAAAATGAATGTCATTTAAAAACAGTGAACGCTATTCTTTGACGGCAGACCATTCTATCTGTGGGTTTTTGTGTGACTTAAATTGAGGACTGTTGCCATGGTGATTACTAGCAAACTATCTTACAAATTATGTTTTGAATCTGGAAAAGGTCAAAATGTTGCATGGAACAGGAGGCTGACGTCACATTTTGTTAAAACTTGTCTAAATCCAAACAGACTTGCACCAGAGCCAAAAGGATTCTCAGGGATATATGCTTTAACTAAAGTATGAGGTCAGCGTGGTCTGGATCATCAAAGACTTTGGAGGGCACGGTCACATAGTTTTAAGAGTGGTTCCCAACCTATTTAACCCCATGTACCCCCAGCCCACATGTTGTGAAGCATGTCGAGGGTCAACTTATTACATCATCACATCATTTTCATCGTGGAAAGTTTATTTTTAGATCTTTGCTTCTGATTTGTTTTATTTATTTATGTATATAATTTTTTAACCAAATGTTTTCTTTTTACTTGAGTTTAAATTGCTTCTGAACATAACATATGAGTACATTCTTGGGCTGAACCAGACAAGATAAGATAAGATAAACTTTATTGACAAGAAAGACAAAAAATATGCAAACCGGAAATGTGCAAAAGTGTAAATAATGTGAAAAGATAGTCTTTTTTGTGCAAGATATATTATATAGATGAAAGACTGTAGACTGACATACAAATGATTGTTATTAATTCTAAGTTCAATATTTAAAATAAAAGAATGTTGTTAAATGATTAAAAAAATATACCATTGTAGCTTAATCCCTCTGAAATCTTGGTATTTACATAAAATCCCAAAAATTAGACTCAACCAACTCCTCAAAAGCTTAACCCATAACCTGATTTTAACAATTCAACAAAAAATTAAATACAAAATGGAAGCATTATAACTGAAAATCCTCTTGTGTAACACTCTTTAACTCATTGACTGTCCTGTATTAGTTTGAGACCGGTGATATCTGTCAATCTTCCCTCTTTTTGACTGGGGATTACAGGAGAACAAAAATAGCTAGAAACCAACTTATTTTTTCTGATAAAAGTAGACAGTCCAGTCTTTCAGAATCTGGTTTAATATTCATATAGTCATAGCACACAATATTCTGTGGGTCTTGAAAATCAGTGAAATCATCAAAAACGGCTGGCAGTCAATGAGTTAATAGGCATCTACGTACCCCTGGTTGGAAAACCTTTGCGTAAAAATATATAAATAACATATAATGAGTAGTAAATGCGTTCGCAATGAGCCACATGTTATTGTTCCTCCTCCTTCTCCTGGACGCACAAACACACATTAGCGTTTCGAGATGCTCTTCCCTTCGGGGCTTCTCAAGGTTACAGCATCAATGACAGAAGGAAAAAAACGCAAACGTGTGCTGCTTATGCGTTTATTCTTCTGCATTTCCTTTTTTTTGTTATACCTCTTACAAACCAAGCCACAAGTTGTCATCCGGGAAAGGTCATGAGTTGCCAGTTTCCCAGAATAATGATCATGTGTTGGCTGCTTCTGTCAATACTGTGATTCACCTTGCTTTCAGTGACATTGTGGTTGCCATAACGAAGAGTTGAAAAGACTGTCAGACTTACTTTAGAGGGAATTACAACCTGACACTTTTATCAAGAGAGCTGAACACTGAGCAGTAAGGAAGCTATACTTGAAGAGAGAAAAAACTCATTTCAGACCAAAAAACAGACTAATTTCAGCATTGTCACAAAACAACATTTCAAACCTTTTACCAAAAACAAATTTGATTGACACAGTGATTCTCTTTTTGGACAATAGACCTCAACATTTTTCCTCAAAAATAATAATATTTGAGCACTACATGTTGTACATTATTTCTTAAAATGTAGCAAAAGCAATTCAAATGTGTCGTTGGATAAATGCCATTGTATTGTTTTCAAGAGTGCTATCCACAAGAAGGTCCTTGGTTCATATCCCGGTGGGAACAGGGCCTTTCTGAGTGGAGTTTACTTGTTCTGCGCATAGGTTTCCTCCAGGTGCCCCGGTTTCCCCTACTACTAATAATAAGTAGTTCAGGGTGAATGAGTGTGTCACCAGTCCTGAAGCAGCTGCACTCTCCCCACATGAAGAAAATATGTTTAATTGACTTAGAGGTATTTGCAAATTGAAGAAAAAACATTGTACAGTATGTATGTAATTGGATGCTATTTGCTTTTCTGTCAACTTTAAGAGGGTGTTAAAAACAGCATGCAGTGTGTAAATCCTGTTCCCATTCCGATTTGTATGTGTATTGACCTGGATGAATGGATTCTCTCTACATACCAAATATTCACACTACGATGACCCGAAATTCTTGTTCCTTTCTGAGCGTGTGCAAAACATGCTTCACAGAACGCACTTACATGGAAGTGTCGGAGGATGTAAAATCATTGAGTCTAGCTGGGTCTTATTAGTGTGCGAGCTGCCGCCTCTGCTGCCAGAGCACATACACACACCCTTTATCACACACAAGGCGGAGAATTATTTCTGAAAATGCCTTCTCCGTCTGAAGCCCTTATCTGCAAAGCTAACATTAGCTGACCAGTTGGAAAAAATGGCTTTTAGATGAGGCATGGTGATAGAAGGTCCAATATGGATGGACGGCCAGGAGATGGGCTGAACCCCCAAGGTTTCTGGTGTGACAATGTTTGTTTTGAGAAGGAAAAATAATAACCTTCAGCACATCTTTTCTGACATATTGTTCTCGTCGTAATGTCAGCGCTTCAGTCCAGCCACTCCATTCTTATTTTCTGAACCTGGAGAGTGCGCGTTATCTCTGTGACGTGAATTTGCCTCCTGACCAAAACTGTTGAATGCACCTCCTCTCTTTTACCCCATTTCATGCTACAACTCTCCTTGACAATTGACCCTTCGGCCAAATAAAGCATCGCGCAAGGAAAAATATATAGAGAACAAGAAAAAATATAAAAAAAATTCTTTGCTTGATTGTGGTAACGTGGAAACCTATATCAAGATGAATAATGTCTTTCTGCCTTACAATTGATCAGGAAAGAAAAAAAACACAAAAAAACTTGGACAATGAACATGGCTTAAAGAACCATTATGAAACTTCTCTGTTCTACAACCTGCTCTTTATTATCCTAACGTGACATTTAATACAGTATGTATTTATCAGTAAGTGGGGTGTAAATTCTAAGATAATAAGAATACATGAAACAAACTAATCTTTTTTTGGAAACTAAGATCATATGATAATTATGATGGAATATTTTCTAAAAAGGT